TTATATATAAGTGAATCCTTACTATATATATAATTTTGGGTTAATGCCATCATCCTTCTACTATAAAAAATAGTTCAATTTAAACTTTTTACTTTCGAGTTGCCTCATGTCTTCCCTCTACTATGAATTAACTACACATGTCTTCCCTCTACTATTGGAAAATGTATTGATGTTGTCTCTCTATCCAAGTTCTGTCCAATTTTGGGCAAACGGACAGTTTGTTGACCATTAACATTAAGTTGTCCAGACATCCAATCCCTCTTTTTTTTTTTTTGACATTTGGGCTCTATGGGCCCTTTTAATGCCACAAGGGACATCTATGAGGTTATTACCATTGAGTCCTTCCTCCACCAAATAACTTGATCTTGTTGCATTTCTATCACTCTCTTCATTTGATATTTGGTCATCTTGAGTGAGAGGAACAAAGACATCTTCATCATTTAAAAGAGGCTCAGATCCATGCAAATTTACAAACCCTACCATAACCTCAACAACCTCCACCACCCCACTTAATACTATTGTGGGGCCCACTTTACATAATTGATTCAATAGTTCTACCTCATGTTCAACGTGCACATCAACATAACTATACTCAAATAGCAACTGGAATATGTCTTCAATTGATTCATCACAAACTATTAACACAAGTCCAAATTATAGTTTCTTCCTTGGGTGCTTATACTAAACAAAATCATTTATTCCATTAATGTTAATATTCAAATCTTGTAGTTTAGATCTAAACCCAGCAACATCTACATTGCCATAATCAAACCATAAAGTGTGAAAGCTACTTCCAACATACCTCAAATACAAGTCTTTAACAAATTTACCCCCAATGTTCAAGTACATACCCACTTCCATAGTTCCCATTCTAGAAAATGCCTACAAAAATCAACACAAGTTATCAAATAACAACAATATGATTCATAACCCATATATTGCAATCTAGTAAACTAATGGCTAGCATTGACATTTGAATCAACTAATCCTAATCGAAAACCTAAACTCAAA